CTGGATTTATTCTTTTCTTTCCCAGTTGACTAAAAAAGCTACATGATTAAGAAATACCTATAGTATATCTACCAAGATAACAGACATAGACTGTGACATACAAGACATAGTCCCTCACTTAAAATATTTTTTAACCTTGTAAAGGAGACTAACTGACCAATTTACATTTTGAAATATTAGCTATAATGTATATAATAAGAACTGGTGGTATTTCCCAAGTGATTTTCTACTGCAATCTGTTTACCATACCAAAGATCCACAGGTCATGGCAGCTAAATCCATGCCCTTATTATCATATATGTCCTCAACCTGCCAACCTGAGCTATAAAGTGTAGAAATACGACCTAGGAAAAAACATCAAGCTTCTTCCTTAAGTTTTGATTTAGTGTCAAGAACCCAGTTTTCCAGGTTCAGTCCTTTGATTCCTGTCGTGGCCCCTTGAGGCTTTCCCTATATACAAGATGCTGCAAACCTACCCACAAATCTCTCTCACTGTCTATCCCTACCTACACACACAAGATGGAGAAAAATATATAACATCATAATATTACTATATTCCTGAAGGAAGGAAAAAGAGGAATCAAAGAAAAAGTTTTTGTAATGCTTTTGGTTATATCATCAAAATGTCCTATTCCTATAATGTAAGATGATAGGCATTTTACTCACTTGTTTTTTATGGACTCATAATTTGAAGTTATGTGTATAAATTCATCTTCTAAGTAAAGTTAAAGATCTGTTGGAAGAAGCCATCCTGCATTATTTTTTTCTGGTTATCATTTGTCAGAGCAAAAGCGGTTGTTTTTTCTTCAACTTAATTGAAAGCTGCCTTTATACAGAAGTGACATTTTCTCTTAACAATCTAGGTAAACCTTGCTCCCACTGCTAAAGTGCAAATTTCTTGAAGGCAGAAAACATTTTTTCAGATTTGTTTGAATCTATCATAGTGACTAGCACTGTTGAGAGAGCATAATGACTGTCCAAAACATAATAATTCCTGTTGAGTGAATGAAATATTTTTGAGAATGATAGATAGAGCACAAAATGTTTTAAATAACATTTAACTTAAACCCTTTATTTTTTAAAAAGGGAAGAAAGTGAATCACAGATACAATAAGTATTTTGTTTAACTATACATATCCCATTTATGTCAGATATAGGAAAAATACAGGTCATATGCCCAAATGTTTCATATTTATTGAGTATGTATTCTTAACTGGGTCCCTTCTTCATAATATAGCTGTATAAGAGTTATAAAAAGTGGTATGGATTGTCCCTATTGTTCTTGATAATTTTATCATTCACATAAATGCCAAATAGATGCAATAATGCTATATATTTATATCACCTAAATCTTTGCATAATGGACCAATATACTGATGGTGTAACACAAAGAAAATCTGCAAAGAAATGCCCTTTACATTTAGAATTAGGGAAGATAAATCTTTTGTGTAAAACATTGTAAAGATGTAAAGAATGAAAAAAGATGTTTATAAATAAAATCTTGTACTAATGGCATTTTTTTTTTTACTTCGAATTCTTCCTTGATTTTACCATGTTGAATTTTTGAACCATTGTTCTTGCCAGTTTTCTATACTGGCGGTTTTCAACTAAGACACTTTTAATAAAAATATAGTTGACATTGTCAAAAAAGGAATACCCAAGTAGCAAGCATTACTAGTCCAGTACTATTCACGGAGATGGCTTTGAGTGGTATGTAGCCACATCACTGTAGACTTTCAGGAATGACTCATGAGCATAGATAGTACCCAAATCCCTCCAGTGTTAGCATTTAGAAGCTGTGTGATCTTGGGTAAGCTACTTGCCCCTTATGAGCTCCAGTATCTTTATTTGTAAACAAAGGAACTAAAATATTTCATCTTTAAGCCCCATCTATATTAAATATTCACTATAATAATTATTTACATGGATATTAAATAGAAACAATTATGAATTGACTTCAGAGCTTCTACTAAGGACCATTCTTCATAAAAGTTCTATTTGCACAGTGACCCAGCAGTAATTATAGGTTGAAAAGCTCTGGCATTGTCCACCACAAAAATGTAAGACTGAGGGAAATGCTTTGAATGATGAGATCATTGAATGACATTCTATTTTTAATATCTTTGTATAAAAGTATACTTTAGGGAGTCTTGGTAGTCGTTTTACTTAGTATATTTATGCAATGAGTAAATCAAATTTATATACTTTTTAAAATTTGGCAGGTTTAGTTTTGAAATTGCCAAGTTTCAGTTAAAAATATAAATGATAAATATAAAACCTAATGTTTTACATATCACACTCGTGAGTAATTAGATGCTTAAGCATGGTTGGATAAGGAACAGTCAGTTTTTATAAGAGAAAGTTAGAGGTGATATGATTAAAGACTCAGAGTAAAAATTTGACATATCTTTCTTCAGTTTTGAGTTGATTCTTTCTTAAATATGTACAAAAATAAAAGTGTAACTCTTCAAGGTTAGGAACTACAGTGATTTAATTATCTATATCACTATTGAGCAATTCATCCAGTGTTGTAACACTATGGATGACCAATTAATTATATTGAAAATGTGAGATGCATACATACACACCAATATGTAGACATTTAATCTCACATAGTTGCATTTCAATGCATTGAATTAGTTAGGATATTGTGATGGGCCTTTATACCTCTTTAGATTTTTATACAATTGATATTCTAGTTGTCTAGTTATTTTTTTCCATGAACTAATAGAATTGTCCCTATTCTAAATCTCTCTAAGGCTTCAAGAGACTGTTTCCCTCATTAGTCCTTTATCCAAATGTGTTTGTTCATATATGGGTTTCAAATAGTCTGAATATATCTCATAAATATAGAAAGAGACCACCTATTTCCAGCGGTTTATACAGTATCAGTATTCCAATTAATGCAGTTATTTTTAGATAGTTACATCAAACAGATAAAATAATAAATATTTTTAAATATACATTAAGTACAAAGGAAAATATTACAGGGAAGATCTATGTACCCATGACCTAGGTTTTGTTTAATCAGAACTTGGGAAAACATAAATCATTACATGTATAGTTTAAACCTATTTTGTATCTCTCCCCTTTCCCAATTCTTCCTTTTCTCCTCAAGAGGTAACCACTAGCTTAAACCTATTGCAAAGCTTTATCATATTCTAAGTTAAAATAAAATTCTATATATATCAAATAATCAATCTTTTACAGAACATATTCTTTGCTTAGATTAGAAATAAATAAAAAAGTAAAACCACATATATATGTGACAATAATGCCTACTCTCATATTGACTGCAGAATTCTGTAAAAATTAAATGAGTTTTCAAATCTTCTACAACTACATTAATTTTTTATCTAGTACTTACTGGCAGAGGAGCATTAAAATGTCCCACTATACATGACTTTGGGTTTTTATATTATTCTATATAGCTCTCTTTATGTGTCTGATATTACAGACAAATGTTTTTAATATTTTTATGATTTTTATTAAAAATCAACACTTTTACATCTTAATAATGCTTTTTTATTCAATAAAACCTATTTTGTCTGATATTAATACATGTATATCCACTTTAGGATTCATTATTTTTGCTTACTTTTTAAAAGAATCATTTTTCTCCACTTTTCTGTACTCATGTCTCTTATAAATCAAACAAGTACAAGAGGTTAGTTTTGTTATTTTACTCAAAATGATGCTACCAATTTACTTGTCTAAATGTATATACATTTCCATTTATTTTGGTTCCTGATGTATTTGTTTATTTTACTATTAGAGGTCCGGTGCACGAAATTTGGGGGTTTCCAGCCTGGCCTGTGCCCTCTCACAGTGCGGGAACCCTGTGATTGGTTGCCCCAATGAGCTAGGCCTCACCCACTCATCTGGAGCTCCTTGAGGGATTTCCTCAAAGAAGTAGGCTTAAGCTCGATATCCCGCCTCTGCACTGCACAGAGCCACGGGACCTCCAGGGCCCGCCTCTCTGCCATGCATGCAGCATCAAGTCCCTGCCCACCCACATGTACCTCTCCATGCAGGCAGCCCAGCCTACCCACTTGCGCCCTCTGCACAAACAGCCTCCTGGTGATGGGTTGTTATAACATGAGGGCGTCAAGGCATGAGGGCATGACAACCACATAAGCTTTTGTTAGTATAAATGCTTCTTTGTTTATTTTCTTTCTTTTCAACCTTTTATTATATGCATAACTTTAGAATTTATTCTTTCCATCTACTAGTTTTTAGGCTATATTTTTCACATTTCATTTTTGGATCAGTTTTAGGTTTATAACACAGTAGAGAACTATTTTTTTCTGTGTTTGTCATTTAATAGATATATTAATAATTTTAAAATTATGAAGTTAAAAAATGTCTACTCTTCTCCAAAATACTGCAAGGCTTTGAAATAGTTTAAGTCTGCTTCTTTGACTTTAACTTTCCTCATATTTTATTTATCACTACTATGTAGCATTTTAGTTCTATCTTCATTTTTATATCATAGAAATTATTGTATCTTCCTTTCCTCATAATTCTCTTTCTCCTTGTCCTTATCAATAAAATTTTAAAATATCGTATCAGATTATGCTAAATCTTGGTTATGTTACTCATTCCATTGAACTGTCTGCCTACCCTTGATTGCATGAGTATATTTACTAGACCTCCTTCCTTATATTCAGTTAAAATTATCTATTAAAAGCCATCATAGTATTAGGGTCTCAGACATAGTTCTGAGCACATTTGAGGAAGAATAATAAACTACTTTATAATCTCACTAGCAATATTACATCTACTCCTATATTGAGAAAATTAAGGGAATCTTGAAATATTCTGGTTGTCAATGTGTCACATTTTCCTGTAATATTTTTTTCTTATTTAATTCCTGATTGGTGTTGAAAATTTGTTCTTGTCTATTTAAATAATTAAATTCATCTTCTTTGTGGTAAATGCATTTGAGCTTAAAGCTTAACTGGTCTCAGAAATTGGAGAGATCTAAGAAGATTACCCACCTGACCAGCAGTGTCCAAGATGTCCAAATAAGCTGGCTCATTGTCGATCCTAACCTGGGTCTTATAAGCATCTTCTGTAAAAACAAAACAAAACAAAAAAACACAAGACAAAGTTTATATTTAAACTAGAGGCCTGATGCACAAAATTTATGCACTAGGTGAAGACTTGTACACTAAAAACTACAAAACATCTTAATGTATTTGCTTCTATACTTTGCCATATCTGTGTATCATTTCAGTGAAAACTGAATATCTGGGTCGGAAGCTCTGGGCTGAGAGCTGAGAATCTTACTTTATTAATCCATTTATTTCCTTATTCGTGTCAATCCCTTCCTATATATTTCAGCCTGTTCAAATACCTACAGTGAGCATATCATCATTTGTGAAACATGGCTAGAACTTTTTAGTCTTGAACCCACAAACCCATAGGGTCAGTCTATAATTTCTATATTATTTTATTCACCAATTATAGTATAAGTAAATAGCAAACTGAATCACCACGAAAAATATTTAGAACAGCATTGAATTTTGACACAATTCAATAATTACTTATACTGTTGATTTTGAAATGCAAATACATAAAATATTATTTCCACAACCTTTTGGTTTAGAAAGTAATGATGGGCAGCCGCAGGAGGCACTTTTTCAATGCATGAAACTGAACTTCTCCCCCAAAATTAGATTTCTGCATGCTGCTAAAGATAAGAACACATACAAACACAAATGTACACAAATACACACATACACAATATCATGGTCTCTACTCCCAAGGAACTTATACAATCATAATGGAAGATACACATATATGCAGTGGGATGTGAATATCCAAAAATGCATAAGACATATAGCTTACCTTCAAGGAAATTTATTTCTTACAATTATGCTTTAAAAAGCTGAAATTGTGGGAAATATAACTTGCAATGAGGTAAACCTAGTGTATTTTTAGCAACTCCCAGCCATCCTAACACCATTCAGTGTATAGGCAACTACACAGTCTCTCTATTTTTTATTACACCGCCCTTTATATTCTCACTGATCTTTCTCTCACAAAAGAGAAATCTTATGGAATTATTTGCAATCTTTTTGGAGATGCATAGGGTTGTTTTCAATTTCATAGGGAAATATGAATAGTTATTTTGGAAAGGGCTCTGTGACCCGAGGATCCCATGTCTTTCAGATTTCCTTATTGCTCATTTCAACTCAAAGGCCCCCAAAAAGAGCCTGCTGAGGCCAGGATCATGCTGAGTAAGCCATATGAGAACTTCACTGTGTGATTATCTGAGCCCTAGATAAACCCAGCACATGAAAATATGTCAAATAAAAGCTTCTCCTGGGATTAGAAAAACTCTTCAAAGAGGCTTGATGCGAATTGGCTAGAAATTAAGCCAGGCCCTATATCCAAGATTTCTTTCTCTCTTTTATAAAATATCCATCAGAGTACACATCCTGGTGTTGTGAATCTAGGTCACCTGCCTGGCCGCCACAGAAACTAATCCTTTTCATTTCTTCTCAATAAACAATCTTCCTTTCTGTTCCCATCCATCCACTCCCTTTGTGACCTCCCATGCAGAAATGCAGTGACAGAAATACTCCTCTTGAATGCATATCAACACCTCCCTGGAATTCAATCATCTGCTTATAGACCCAACCCTGAAGTGAGCTCATTTATCTTTCCAGGCAAGAGGCCAAATGTACACAAAGCTTTATCGGGCAGAAATGGCAGCAACCGCCTATATATTGTTTGCGCAAAAAAAGCCCAATGGGGCCACTTTCGTGGAGGCATCTAGCACTGTGAAATTCATTTCTACAAGAATGTTGGATTTGAGACTATTCCTTCACTTGACATGTGTCTTCTTCACTCTCCCTCTCCAGCAGTATTTTACCAGAAGTAATAATCAAAGACCTGTATTAAAGTCTGAAAATTATCTCTAAATTTGGAAGTTATGATTGACCAGACACTTGATCTTTTTTGCAAGATGGAGATAAGAGTACATGCTAGTCAATGCATAGGTGCTCCAGAAGGATCAACAAAAGTTGCAAGTAACATGGTGCTTAAAATAAAATATAAAAAACCCACACAATTCAAACTCTGGGCACGTTATGTTGTTTATTAAAATATATGTATATTGCTTCAAATTAACCATGAAATTATATTAAATCTAAATTACTTCTGCTATTTATATTTACCCATGTGGAAATGCTTTCTTCCCAATAAGTAAATCATAGAGGATTTGGCAGAATATGTTTTCAAACATTATCAAAAATATGAAGTTTTAACTTAATTTTAAAAACTTAAGGTGTTCTGGAAAATTTACCCAAAATAACTTATTTAACTCTTTTTTTTAGAACAAACATATGTATTTAAATAACTTTAAAATAATTTAGTTGTAAATATGAAATTAGGATAACTTAAAACCACAATATGTATCTGAGAGAAATATTAGATGATCATTGAGCTTTCACTTGTTGATGTTTTAAAAATCATAAAGATAATTTAGTACTTCTTATATGCCTTCCCAGAATATCTGAAATGTATGATAATTAATATTATAGTGATTATATATATATATATATATTAGAGATACATACACACACACACACATATATATATATATATATATACTAGTATATATCTCTAAGATATTAGTCATTCAAGTCTTTTAAAGGATAATAAAACAAAAAGTTTTGAATAATCTATAAGAACTTTGTCAAAGAATTACTTAAATGAATTATCTTAATTGTGTGTTTCTGTGTATATAAGCATCTTGGAGCATACTGTACTAGACACTTCCACTGAAACAAAAAATTAAATCATGGCTGAGTCAGCACTGATACAAATATAATATATCAGCATATTTATCAATAATGTTGTCAATTTATGCTACACACTCTGATAGGCACAGAATCTAACACTGGTTACTTAAAACTTAAAGTGAACATTAAATTCTAAAATCACTTCCTTTGAGGACAAAGATAAGAATAAATACTCATTATAAATATTTTTATACACATTATACTGGTGGTTCTAACCTGTTCAGTTAGGTAAGAATATGCCTGATGTGAATAAACTTGATAAAGAGAAAATGTTATTCATAGAAAATATTTTTTGGGTATGTATAAAATGTCAAAGATTTCAGACATAAATTAGCAAATTGAATAAATGAATATATTAAGTTTTCTGGGAACAAAGTCAACAGAACAAAAACAATGTTTCTATATATGAATAAAAAAATAAAAAATGAAGATATTTAATGGTATTAATTGTCATAACAAAATCAAATTTCAAAGAAATCTTTTAAAATTTTTGCAAGACTTCTACTTAAGTAGTTGTAAGACTTTATGAGAAACATTAAAAATGATATAAATAAGTGGAAGGGTTTGCCATGTTTATAGATTAGAAGATTCAATATTTTAATTATTTTAATTTTCACCTAATTAACAATAAATACATTTCAAACAGATTTGGGGGAACAGTGGAGATCCACCAACTAATTCTAAATATGGAAATGAGAAGAGTCCAAAATAGTTGAGACAATCTCAAAATAGAACAATAAGCTCTTCTGTGTATCAAGGCTTACTCTTAATTTGCAGCAATTAAAACAATGTGATGCCGAAACTGGTTTGGCTCAGTGGTAGAGCGTGGGTCTGTGGACTGAAAGGTCCCAGGTTTGATTCTGGTCAGGGGCATGTAGTACATTGGGTGCGGGCACATCCCCAGTAGGGGGTGTGCAGGAGGTGGCTGATAGATGTTTCTCTCTCATCGACGTTTCTAGCTCTCTATCTCTCTCCCTTCCTCTCTGTAAAAAATCAATAAAATATATATTTTTTTAAAAGGACAATGTGATATTGGCACAAGGATAGAAAAATAAATGGACAGAACAGGGAACCCATATATGAATGAACCCTCTTTTAGATGGCAGGATTGGCACTCAGAGCAGTAGGGGGAAAAAAAGTATTTTCAGGAGAGAGGGCTCTCAGATATAAACATTAAAAATAATGAAACTTGACTACTACATCACAGATACAGTGAAAAAAATTCTAGCCAGGTTATAAATATAAACATGCAAAGTAAAACAGTAATGCTTCTAGGAGGTACTGTAGGAGAATACCTTCATTGTCTGGAGTGGTAAGACTTCTTAAATACTAATCCTATATAATAAAAGCCTAATATGCAAATTCTTCCTTTAGGCATGGTTGGACCAGGAGTTCGACCGCTCACTATGACTTGCTCTGACAACCAGGGGGTAGCGCAGAACATAGCAGGTGTCATCAACACATGAACACATGCTGGCAGTGGGTGTCATTGGAGGATCTGCAACCCTAATGGACCCCAGGGAGTGCAGAACTGTGGTGGGATGGTGGAGCAGGTGAGTGGGGCAGGAGAGAGGGGGAGAAAGGGGTTGCTAGGCCAAAGCAGGTGTGAGCAATGGCTTGATCACCCACTGATCACTGCCCTGCAGATGGTGACCAGAGATGGCTTCAGGAGGGCGGGGCTGCCACCTGGCTCCCAGGCACTGAGGGAGCTGAGCAGGGGGCCCACCCCAATGGATCACCCAGCAGGCAGGATGGTGTTAGCAGGTGAAGGGGCCATTTCCAATGAAAAGTGAGCAAGAGATTACTTTTTTAAGTTATAACTTTATTACTTTCATTTATTGAGCACTGGCACTGTACTGGCATGGTAAAAATATATGTATTTTTTCTGACATTCCATTATGTCATTTAATTATCCTCATAACCCTATGAAGGAACTATTCCTACGTCCATTTACAGAGGAGAAGTTGAAGGCTGGAGAAGTTACATAATTTTCTCAATTTCACACAACTTGTAAAAGAGCATATTATTTTCACTTATTACCTGATATTTATAAAATCTTTATTTGGTTTCTAATATGTTTCTTAAAAAATAACATTAGGTACTAGGGGTATAAAGTTCAATAAGATGTGGCCCTTTTCCATGAATGAGGCCACAAAGGAGGCATAACAAAGTGCACTTGAAGTTGGAGGCTGGTGAATAGATAAAGATTTTATAGAAATCTTGTAAAAACCCTAGCATATTATTCTAACAGTGGATTGTT